ATGTATATGTTCAGAGATGTATGACCCACACTTACTTTACGAAGATTGAAATCTTAATATTAACTGTGGTTCGCCTGGAGGAATCGTAATATTAGTTAAATTATATTATTTAGTATATTTTTATAAATATATAATGAAAAGAGGACTGGACTGGTGCCCCAAACCAAGCACGATCTGGTTGGCTAAAGTTATGGTAAGGCGATAAAGAACAAGAGTAAGACTAAATTCATATTATAATGTTTAAAGTCAGTTGATGTAAATTTAATGAGATTGAAGGATTTTATCATTCAGTAGCAATATTCGAGTTTAGATTCTGGGGCTATCTCTTGGACATGCAATTACTGAAAGGCAAAGACTTCCTCTGTTGTGTTCACATTTCTAGATGCAGAGTTAGTATGTATAATAACTTATCTTAAAAATTAGTTTGATACTAATGTATAAAACAAGTTGTGATGTGATTTTATTTTTTTCCATTCTTTCCTTGTACTTTGCTTTGCAGCTAACTCCACAATACACACTGCATTTATCCATTAGATGTAATAAATTGATCAAATTAACGGTAGAAATCATTTGCATTAGCAACTCAACAAAATTAAACATAGAACACATGACCAAAAGTTAAAACTAAACATATTGTAACTATAGTAAGGCCATCTTACACTCTCTCAGTCGAGTACATTTGACCCAGTTATTTTAATTGGTAGTGAGTAAACATTAATAAAAAATTGTTGTTCATAATTTTCCTAGTAAGATAAAGTACTAGAAACTCTGAGACCTTTGATAATAAAAGAAAGTTGTTTTTCATGAATTTATAGTCCAAGATAACAAACTGCCAAACTGAAGAGGTACCAAGTAACACTGTAACTCTGTTTTGGTTTCATGTAGCTCAACTGCAACTTTCCCTAACACTCATATTCTCTAATATCTCTTGACCACTCATATTTTCTCTAATAATACTTTATGTAAAAAAGTGTAATACTACAATTTCAGGGGTAATTTTAATGAATAACTTATAAATAATGCGCACAAAAACTCTTACTACACATGAATTTGGAAGATTCTGGTGAGAATTGAAAATTTTACGGGAAGGGAGAAGCTTCAGCATATCAGCATATCATTTGATACCAATTGCAAGTAATTTTAAACATTCTATACAAGTTTATGAGTATTTATGATAAAAATATGCTTGTGGGATATTGGCAGACAGTGATTATCATTATTGCAGCTTGACTACCATTGCTTCAAAAAAATAATTTATTGATTTAAATGAGTTTAAGTGGCTCCCTTGTGCTATGTAGCACAAGGTACACGTATAGCAAGAATTGCTACACAGATGAAGAATTTATCGAATGGCTCAAACACTTTAAAAGCCTTACTTTACCAACTTCCCAGGACCCAGTGCTGCTGATCTTGAACAACCCTGGGAATCACATCACTTCAGACTCCTAAAATTATGTTTTTCAAAATAAATACTGTTTGAAGAACTAATGTGTTCATTTTGCTTCATATTTATTTACTGGCTCTCATTACCCACATGAGAGGGTAATGGAGGTCAACTGCAAATTGTTGGAAATTCGATTTTTGAAAGGGATTTAGTGAATTATTTTTTGTGGTGAAAACACAAGCGTACTAACTAATGTGTGATATTAAAGCACATACTTGTTCATAGGTACAATTCGTACTGATCTGCATTGAAAGAAAAGTCCCTTTTTACCACTACTTCTATTGTTTATTTAAGAATTTTATATTAAGGACATAAACTTTTTTTTATTTAAATGAATAATTTTTGGGTAATATTCATTTGAAATTCCTAAAAATTATTTTCTCAAAAACAACTCAAAATAAAAAAAATTCCACCGGTAGAAGAAGGGGTACTTAAAAGAATGGTGCAAGTCTCATTGCTGTTGAACTCTTTATATTTTTAAAAATTGCAAAAACTTAATATTTGGAAACTACAAAATGGAAGATAGAGATTTTGTCTTGAACAAAAATTCTTTTAAAAAATCAGCTCGTTAATATAGGTCATGTACATATGTATATGTAGTTTTCGTGAAATTTCTGCTTGAAATTAATGAAATATATACAGGTATGGGCAACACCAACTATGGGCCACAAGAAAATCCATAGAGAACACAAATGGATCCAAAGGATATGAAAAATAATTAATTTAAATTTATTTATAATTTACTATTGAAAATGCCAATATTCATTCCATTTTTACTCTATTCTACCATTTGTATTCTCTTATGTGATTTCTTTCAAGGAATCCGCAAACCTTAATTAAAATTTGCACAACAATACCATGATGGATATTTGAGAAGAACATTGGTGATCTGCAAGATGGTGGCAGCAATAAGATAAAACAATTTTATTTATAGTTGAGCTTGTGTTGTATGTTTATAAATTATCCTTTTAGAAATGATTTGAAACCTATTTGATAATCCATATTTTTTGTCCGTGTTGCCAGGTATGGAATGTACATATTTTCAATGAACGAAATGTCACGTATCTATGAATATTTCAGCATTTCACCAACAACACATTCCATATTATAGTCTTTAAAAAATTCAACGAATGTAAAGCAATACAGTAGAACATTGATTATCTTCTTTTTTTTTTTTATAAAAATTAGGTTCGCTTTTTGGGTAAATTTTTGTGAGTTGAAAATTAAACAAGGGTTTCCAAAACTTAAGGATTTATTTTATATTTTTACATAATAAATATGTTGCTATTTATTGACTATAGAACATTAAAGGTTTCATTCTACTATTTATAACGTTTATTTCATTAAATGAGTTTGGTGACAGACACTAGTAGTGCAGAATTTGCAATATTTCAATATTACTTAGCTGTTCCAAAAATGTGAGAAAGAATGTGCTGTTGTAGTACCAGTAGTTTGAAGTTATGTTAAATAAATTTTAAAAAAATATTAATTTGGGCTTGGGCTAGAAATTAAACACCTGATAACAAGTTTTTGAGAGGTAGAGGGGATTTAACGGAAGGATGTATTGTTTTGGGGGGATAAAAGAAATAAATGCATCTAAATTAAATTATTAATGAATTATTAGATACAACTCTAATTTAGAATGATTTCTTATGTTGAGATACCCACAAATCATGTGAAAACCTCTTAGAGTATTTTGCAGTACCTTTCTCCGCCCGTTTTGCTTCCTGTAGCAGATGCTTAATCCGAATGGTAGAATAGGTTATTACATAACACTGTGCGTGGACTGTACCGGGGTCACACCATTTATATAAGTAAAAATTAATTCAATATAGGTACTGTAAAACATGTCTTATGAATTTTATTTGAATTATATAGGTTTAGAGAAATTTGTGAGGTTTTAAATTTTTGGAAGTTTGAATTAGTAGTGGCCGGCCACCCAATAATGAGATTTTGGACAAATTATTAATTCTAGGAAGAACGGTGGTTAGCAAGAAAGTTTCTGTCAGTGGTGCTGAGCACATGCCATCCATGCGATGCGCATGGTACAGGAGACTTACTGGCACCCAATGTTATTCGTGAATTCCAACAATTACCACTATTAGATCGGGTTAGAAAATATTTTTTCATTGTATCAGATTCAAGGCCAATGTTCCGTGATTAAAAATATGTTCGATTGTAACAACAAGTTTAGGATGTATTAACTTGTTATTTTATTTATATTTCTAACATAGAATTTTGTCAAGTATTTTTAAATGCTTTTAGTATGAGACTGAGATAAAAGGATATCTTCAGAGAAAAGAATGAAGCAAAAATTATCAGCATTAGTGTAACAGTCTAATACTAGGACATAAGCCGGCTCTTCTATCCTCACACTATATGAAGGATAACACTGCTTGAAAATACAAAACACCTTTCCCCACTTAAGCATTACAATATTAAGGGTGACCTCTCTTAAACCTTTTTCAACTGTACACATGCAGCAAACCAAAGATTGGGAATTGCTAGGATCGTGAGGGCTTTGGAGCTGTCGCGTGTTCACAGTTGAACAGTGTGAGAAGTGCTTTTGCTTTCAAGCAAGCGCAACTGGTGCTCGTTAGGGGGCCGGTGTCTAAGAGTGTGTTGGAGAGGGAAGGGAAAGTTTCAGTTCTAATCCCCATAAAATATGGCAAATTCATTTTAAAAAAAGCAACCTTTTTTGAATGTGAATTTCTTCTTTCTCTTGGACATAATACACATTCTTGTTTGTAATGTAAGGTAATTTTTTTTTTTAATAAATTGAGTTATTTCAGTCACATTATGTCTTTTTTCTTAATTTACAAAAAAAAAAAAAAAAAAAAAAAAAAAAAAAAAAAAAAAAAAAAAAAAAAAAAAAAAAGAATGTTGCATTTGGTGGTCTGCATGGCCTCTCTTGATATACCAGTATTCACAGTTTTGCCTCAATTTTAAATATGAGGGGGAATTGGGATAAATTGAAAAGACAATAAAAATGACAGAAATAGTTTCAAAAAGGATAATTCTTTTTATAGTATAAACATTGTTTTTTATCACAACTCATCATATTTCTCAGTTTGTATTAATGATCTGAAAGCTATCTTAGTGACATACTAAATTTCATATGGAATTGGTCCAAATAACCAAAACCATTTTAATGTAATGATATCAAATGTGTAGCATTCAAAATGTTATCTATGCTGCATTATTTTGCATTCTATTTTATTTGATAATTTTTACAAGATTCACAAAACATTAAAAGAGTAAGTTAAGATAGTACTGTTGCTTAATTACTTTAATTTTGAATACTTGAATTTTTTTCTGAGAAAAAGCGTGGTTAGTTCAATCAAGCACTAGTGGGCTTTACATGTCGATAAAAACATTTGCGTTCCATGAAGTTTATAAAAGCTCATTCATGTGTGAAATAATTAAAAAATACTGCACCATTGAAGTTATATTAATCACTTTAAAAATATTTTTAAAAGCAACATAAAATACTGATATTTTCTTATCTTCATATTAATAAAGTTTTAATAACAAACATTGTAATTACCTTCCAGATTGGAGAAGGGTCTCAGATGAAGATGAATATGGAGAAATTAAGATAATTGTTCGTGAATTAATCATATATTTGTTATTTTTGACTGTTCTCTTAATAGGTGAGTTATACAAACAGGATTTAATTTGATGAATTTTCAATATTATACAGTGTAAAATAATTATTAAAAATTTTTCCTAGCTGCTTTTGGTGAAAAGGGTGAAATACGATTCTATTATACAAAAGCTATGGAAAATTTATTTATTTATTCTCCAGCTCCAAGTGGAAGAACATATGCAGACATGACAATCATTGCAGATTTTTGGGAGGTAGGAATCATAGAATACTAATAAGCCTCAATTAATTCAGCAAATTGAAGATACGTCAGAATAAACTGAGTTATTCAAAATTTTACAAAGGTTCTGTGGAATATTAAAAATGAGTTGGAGACATAGAAGAAGAAAGAAAAAAGCAGCAAAAACTAGGTGGAGAAAAGTCGACTAGAATAAATGTATTTTTGCCAGTTTTTTGAAGTAATGAGAACATTTGTGAATGTGTGAAATGTACATTGTTACACAATTAACCTATTTTCTTTACTTTGGTTTTACACAATAAATTATTTTCCTAAATAAAGTAATGACTAAACTTTTAATACAATTATCAAGATTGTATTGAGTAAATTATCAACATATAATTATCAATACAGGAATTGACCCAGATTAATTTGTTTCTTCTGCATAAATGTAATTGAAGAATGGTTTACGAAACATTTTTTTCAATTAGAGAACAAGAAAAATTCTAAAAAGATGCTTTCAAATTTCCATTGTGACTATAAGACTTCAGTTCCTCAAAAAGATATGCACAGGAGGGGGGGTGGGGGGGGAATGAAATCCTGAAAATTTTCAAGGGTCCCCCTTTGTTATAGATGATAAAATATTTTATTTCCATAAATTTGTTCATTCCCTGATTTTCCCCTTTTATCCTGACAATTAGTAGGGGAATTGGTTATATGGCATTACAAGAAGAGGTTCTCCAAATCACCTGGCAACCATGTCACTGGTTAAACATAAAATCAAATTTATTGAGGTGCTCAGAATAGTAAAAGCAGATCCCAACTGAAGCCTGTTTTGAAAAAAAACTATTTTTTCTATTTTTGTTCATGTTCATTTTCATTGCAGACAAACTTTTGAAGTTGGAATTTGAAGGTTTATCCATATCCCAAGTCATTTGGTTTTTCAGTATATGATAATTATATTGAATGAGTTTACTGACATACTTCTAACTGAAAATGCAAGTTCTGTTGGGATCTGTCGTTAGTATTCCGAGAACCTAAATTGTATCATTAAATTCATAATTTCATTCTCTTTCTAATATTTTTTATTTATTTACTAGTAAAATGTATCATGTAAATAAAAAAGATTAAAGGGAGAGAGGGCCCAGAAATGTAGTTCCTTCCCTACCCCTCATGATTGCGCACACCTCAGCAATTACTCGTTGATAGATGAATCACTGTTTAGAGTTGAATAGAGACACCAATTGCTTCTTCCTTTGCTTTCTTCCTTTGTTGCAAAGACAAATAGAGTAGTGATGCAGTACTTTTGTAGTGAATAACTTATATTTTGTTTCTAGTTTGCCGAAACAGTAATGATTGATGGCTTTTTCTGGGACACTTGGTATAGAACAGCTCAGCCCAATGATAAGCCAGTTTCAGATGATGATAACAAAATTCTTTACGAAAATAAATTGTTGGGACTACCTAGACTTCGACAAGTAAGCATAAGGAAGATGTCCATAAAGCATGCCTCGCTGCACCTTTTATTAATTACAATAATTTTATTGAAATTTCTGAACTTGGGTTGCCAAAGAATTAAATAATATTCCAGGTACGAGTACGACCTGATTCTTGCACAATATATGAAGATTTTCAAAGATCATTTGAAACCTGTTATGCTGGCTATTCAACTTCTGCAGAAGATCACACACATTTTGGACCTGGAGACAGCAAAGCGTAGGTCCAAGCTCATAATAATAACACAATTCTTTTAATAATTAATTAATTTATTCATTGGTTGCATGCAGGTGGAATTACAGCACAGAAAATGAAGTGGGGGCCTATTCGTATTGGGGCAAAGTTGCAAAATATAGTGGAGGTGGTTATTACAAGGACTTGCCTATGTTAACAAAGGATGAAATGGTACTAGCAGTAGGAATATTGAAGGATAATGTGTGGATAAGAAGAGGAACCCGAGCTGTTTTCCTGGATTTTACTGTATATAATGCAAATGTGAATCTATTTTGCATTATTAAGTAAGGAGTAATTTAACTCATTGTGACAATTGAAAATGTTAAATCTTCTTCTCAGCATAGGCAAATTAAAATTTTATTTTTATTTAATGTTACAGATTAGTAGTGGAATTACCACCAACTGGGGGAGTAATACCAACTTGGAAATTTAATACAGTAAAATTGTTGCGATATGTATCTGTTTTTGATTATTTTGTGTTAGCTTGTGAATGGATGGTTATTGCTTTCATTGTTTATTACATTGTGGAAGAAGTGTTTGAAATAATGCAAATCAGAATGCAATACCTTTATGACGGATGGAATGTATTTGATTTACTGATTATTGGGGTATGTACTCTGATTTATTGACATCTAAATATTGGAATGAAGAATTTAAATTTTAAAAATAATTTGCAACTTGTATTATTTGTCAACAGCTTTCAATTGCGTGTATTATCGTCAGTATATTTCGCACAGTAGTAGTGAATATCAAAATTGATCGACTAGTTGATTATGGGAATGAGTACCCAAATTTTGAAAGCTTAGGGTATTGGGAAACACAATATAACAATATGTTGGCTGTTGTAGTATTTTTTGTATGGATAAAATTATTCAAATTTATAAAATTTAATAAATCAATGAACCAACTAAGCATGACACTGAGAAGGGTAGGTAAAATTGAATTATTTAGCATACAAAGGACTGAATTCCATTCCAGTGACTGAAAATAATTTAAAATAGTTATAGAATTTTATTAAAAGGTAACTATTACCTTAAAGATTCTGCTTCTACACAATCCATTAAACTGTTAAAAATGAAGTTTAAAATAATTAAGTCAAATCTTTGGGAAGTAAGGGTATATTCATCTCACTTTATCTTACTTTTTTATGTTTCTATCATTTCTTGAAATGGCACAAATTATTTTCAGAAAAACTGAGAGTATTTGATATTTTTAGTTATGTGACCAACATATGTCATAATCTTTTTATTACAGTGCTCAAAAGATGTTTTTGGATTTTCTGTCATGTTTTTCATTGTATTTCTGGCATATGCACAACTAGGACATTTGGTTTTTGGAGATCAGGTGATTCTGAAATTGAAACTTAAGATATTTGGAAGTATATGGATGTAATGAAGTATAAATTTAAATATGCCTTGCTCTTCCATATTTTGCAGCTTGAAAGTTTTAATAATATAGTGAGATCATCATTTACACTGCTTCGCACTATACTTGGAGATTTTGATTATGACAGTATACAAGCAGTTGATCGTGTAATTGGTCCCATATATTTTTTATCTTATATATTTCTTGTATTCTTTATTCTTTTGGTAAGTCCTTCAAAACCTAAAATTTATTCCTTTTATTATTTAATTTTTAGAAATATCTATCTATCTCATGTATTAAGGTATATTATACCTAAAAAATAATGGAAAATTGGTGAAAATTCATTTGTTAAGTTTTAACAGAATTAGAACCTTTGGTATATTCTCTGTATAACATGGTGAAACCTGTTTTATTCTATGATCTTTGTTTTTATATGGATATTTGCCGATCCGGTGGCCGAGATTGCTAAGGCAGTAGTGCCGTAGCGATCTCGTACCGAAAGTTCGAGTCCCGCCTCGGGCATCGTTGTATTGTGTTCGTCCTTTCACCCCCTATCATCTATCATCCTCCATCTCTCATTATCACCTTTCTGAATAACATTCAGAATTGTAACTCGAGGATTTATCC